TCCTAAAATATCAGTGAATCAAATTCAACCATACAACACACCATGACCAAGCTGGATTTATCCCAAGAATATAGGATGGTTTACTCTTGGGAAAGCTACGTCATACTATGTTAACAGATACAGAAGAAAAATCATATGATCTGCTCTATAGATGCAGGATAAGCATTTGATAAAAATCAACACCCATTTATCACAAACATTCTTAGTAAACAAGAATTAGAAAGGAGCTTCCTTAACCTGATGATGAATACGTACCAAAAAATTGTATATAACTTAAGGGCAAGAACTGTAAAAATATACTCTTTTCAGTAATCACATTGTTGGTTGTAGGGTTGGTATTGTTAGTGTTTTGTGTATAGAGATAGATCAAATGAGTAATTGGTTGGTGTCATTGAGAACTGAGTCTTTTTTACTATGGTAAAATATACCATTTTAACCATTTTTGAGTGTGCAGTTCAGTGGCATTAAGTACATTCACATTGCTGGACAACCATCACCACTATCCATCTCCAGAATCTTTTCATCATCTCCAATAACCACTAACTCCCCTTCCCATCTCTGTCCCCATTAACCACTAACTCCCCATTTCCCCCTCTCCCCAGCCACTGGTGACCATTAGTCCACTTTCTGTCTCTATGAATTTGACTACTTTAAGTACCTCATATAAGTAGAATCATATAATATTTGTCCTTTTTTGTCTGCCTTATGTCACTTGGTGTAATGTCTTCAAGGTTCATCCATGTTGTAGCATGTACCAGAATTTCATTCCTTTTTAAGGCTGAATGGTGCCATTGTATGGATATACTACACTTTGTTCATCCATTCATCCGTCCGTGGACATTTGAGTTTTTTCTGCCTTTTGGCTATTGTGAATAACGCCGCTGTGAACATTGGTGCACAAATATCTGAGTTCTTGCTTTCAACTGTTTTGTATATACATATACCCAGAAGTGGAATTGCTGGATCATATGGTAATTCTGTTTAATTTTTTGAGGAACTGCCATACTGTTTTCCACAGCAGCTGCACCATTTTACATTCTTGTCAGTGAGGCACAAGGAATCCAATTTCTCTACATCCTTGCCAACACTTATTTTGTTTTTCTGATAATAGCCATCCTAATGCGTGTGAAGTGATATCTCATTGTGGTTTTATTTGCATTTCCTTGGTAGCTGTTATGTTGAGCATTTTTTCATGTGCTTATTGGTTTATTTTATATCTTCTTTGGAGAACTATCTAAGTCCATTGTCTTTTTTTTTTTTTTTTTGGTGGAGAAGATTGTCCCTGAGCTAACATCTGTGCCAATCTTCCTCTATTTTGTATGTGGGACACCACCACGGCATGGCTTGACTAGCGGTGTATAGGTCTATGCCTGGGATCTGAACCCGAGAACCCCAGGCTGTGGAAGCGGAGCGCTTGAACTTAACCACTATGCCACGGGCTGGCCCCTCCGTTGCCCATTTTTGAATTGGGTTGTTCAGGTTTTTTATTGTTGAGTTGTAGGAGTTATTTATATATTCTGGATATTAATTCTTATCAGATACGTGATTTGCGAACATTTCTTCCCATTCTATTGATTTTTTTACTGTGTTGATAGTGTCCTTTGATGCAAAAAAGTTTTTAATTTTGATAAAGTCCAATTTATCTATTTTTCTTTTGTTGCCTGTGCTTTTGTGTCATATCCAAGAAATCATGGCCAAATTCAATGTCGTGAAGCTTTCCCCTTATGTTTCTTCTAAGAGTTTTATAGTTTTAGCTCTTTAATTTAGGTCTTCAATCCATTTTGAGTTAATTTGTCTATGGTGTAGATGGTGTTAGGTAAGGGTCCAACTTCGTTCTTTTGCATTTGGATATCCAGTTTTCCCAGCACCATTTGTTGAAAAGACTGTCCTTTCCCCATTGAATGGTCTTGACACTCTTTTCAAAAATCATTCAACTATTATATGTGAGAGTTTATTTCTCTGGGCTTTCTATTCTATTTTTTTTTCTCCCCAAAGCCCCAGTGCATGGTTGTGTATCCTAGTTGTAAGTCGTTCTAATTCTTCTGTGTGAGCCACCCCGACAGCATGGCAACTGAAGATGGGTGGTGTGGTTCTTCAACTGGGAAGCAAACCCAGGCCACCGAAGTGGTGAGCACCGAACTTTAACCACTAGGCCATCAGGGCTGGCTCTCTATTCCGTTTCATTGGTCTATATGTCTGTCTCTATGCCAGTGCCACGCTGTTTTGATTACTATAGCTTTGTAGTAGGTTTTGAAATCAGAAAGTGTTGGTCTTCCAATTTTGTTCTTCTTTTTCAAGATTGTTTTGGCTAATCAAAGTTCCTTGAGATTCCATATGAATTTAAGGATGGATTTTTCTACTTCTGTAAAAAGAGAATTGAGATTATTATTGACATGGGAGAAATATGTAAGGTAATTGAGTTAAAACTCTGTAACCCTAAATTTGAAAAGGAGATGTCAGTATGAACTTCCAACGCATGTCATATAAAAATATATATATATTGGCTAACTGTTCACTGAAAAGGACTACAGTGACTGACCCAGCTACAGTAAGTGTCCCTGGCACTCAGACTGTGGTCATTTCCCACGAAGAGAAGAACCAGGACTCCTCAGAAAGCTGTCTGATTCCAGACCTTGGACACTACTGGAATTGTGTCAAAAGGACTAAAGAATCAACTTGAAAAGGTTCCCAATGGCCACAGACGGAACAATCTGAACTTCAATAAGAATAATAATTGCAATAGATTAAAGTACATCAAATATGTATAAACCCATGAATTCATTGATAATCTTTTTAAATGCTTATTGATCGATTTTGGAGGATGATAGAGAACCAAGGCATTATTTTGAAAACTGATAGGGCCGGCCCCGTGGCTTAGTGGTTAAGTGCGTGGGCTCTGCTGCTGGTGGCCCAGGTTCGGATCCAGGGCGCGCACCGACGCACTGCTTCTCCGGCCATGCTGGGGCCATGTCCCACATACAGCAACTGGAAGGATGTGCAGCTATGACGTACAACTATCTACTGGGGCTTTGGGGGGAAAAATAAATAAATAAATAAATAAATAAATAAATAAAAAGAAAACTGATAAAGGGAAATTCTATACCCTAATAAATCACTTTTAGGTATATACCCAGGAAAACATATACAACAGGAGACATTCACAGGAATGTTCTTAACCACACTATTTATTATAGCAAAAAACTGGAAACTCAAATGGTCATCCTCAGGATGAATAAATAAATAAATGGTGTGTGGTATATTTACACAGCAGAATAGTATACAGCAGTAAAAAGTGGGTATGGATGGAACCATGAAATGGATAAACCTTGGTAACATGTTGAGTGAAGAAAGCAAATAAAGGACAAAAAAATATGATACTCTCTTCATAGAAGTTCAAAACTAAGCAAAACTAAACAATATATTGGTTAGGCATGTATATGTGAGTGAATTTATTTTTCTTAAAAATTTTTTCTTTCAAAAAAGTCAAGGGAATAATAAATACAGAATTCTGGATGGTGGTGCCCCTGACACGGGGATAAGGAAGGGAAGAACAGGTTAGGAGCACAAGGGTGGATGTAAGTCCTGGCCGGGTTCCATCGAGCCCCTGGAGTTTTGCAGTGGGTACACTGGAACTCGATGTATTAATTTAAAAGTTATAAACACATACGAATTTTTAAAAAGAGGATCATGCGAGGATCAATGATGATTGTGTGTCACTAACCAAAGATTATAATTAATCTATTCTGTCGACCTGAAGTTGGCCTCCTCAAGAAAGTTAGCAGACTTTTCTAACGGGCCAGCCACGTGAGAAACTCAAGTGAGTGGGAGGGGTAATAACTATTTTCACTTTTCTCTTCCTGTTTTTTCAGAGCCTGGGAAAGCAAGTCAGAATTTCCAATCTTTTCCAATTCCCACATGATTCCCTAATTTAGAATGAATTTAGAGAATATAAAAAAGTCTTTCTTCATCTGGGGAAGGCTCCACCGCCTGCCATGGAGCATCCTCATTCTCGGATGAGGAAACAGCCTGGGGTGGGGGGCGCTCCAGCCCCCTCCCTCACCCCGCACGAATGCGCCTTGGGGTTGGCCTTGGGGACAATACTCCTGCCGAGGGCTTGCATGACGGTTAACTGCTAGAAATGCTTTGGCCAACGGTTAAACCCTAGCTGGAGGCCCTGGGGAGGCGGGCGGGGGGCGTGACCCAGCGGGTTCAATTGGCCCCTGGGAGCCCCGGACCTTCTAAGACACAGGCGTCAGGCTGCGGAGACGAGGTTCCGGAGATTGACCCCAGGGCGCCTCCTGCCCAACCTCTGCCCCAGATGGCTGGCAGGGTGGATGCATTTTAAACCGACGTGCCCTCGGCCCCGCTCGCCGGCGGGAGCGGACGCGGCGCGGAGCCTCGGTCGCCCCTTGCGTGCAGTGGGCTCCGGGAAGCCCGCGATCCAAGCACCGCCAGGTGGAGAGGTCCGGGCGCTTCCCTTTCCCCGTGCTGCATCTCGATCGGGGTGGCCGGGAAACTAAAAAGTGCTTCTGCGGCGACAGCCACCAAGAGCACATTTAGCGATTAGGAAACCGTGTGGAGGTCAGCCACCCGGCCTTTGCGGGCGAAGCAGGCCCCGGGCCTTTCCCTGCGCAGGGCGGGCGGCCGCAGCCCAGCAGCCCTGGCTCTGCTCCAGACCCGGCCCTGGGTGACATCACCAAACTCCTCCGATCCGCGGGAGGGGGCCCCGAAATCCCCTAAAAACATTGTGAGTAATCGCCGGGCCCGCCCTCCAGGAGGCCCAGCCCCAGGAGCGAGCCAAGCCGCCCCGCCAACCCCGGGAGCAGCCTCCAGGCGGGTAGGCTCTTCGTCTCCCGCGGGGCGCACGCTTGTTCCCGGCCCCCGGCAGCACGGCGCGCGCGGCCTCTTCGTCCTCTGCGCGGCAGGCACTTGGCCCCAGCCCCCGCGGGGCGGCAGCAGTGGCCACGGCGGCGGCGCAGCGCGCAGGCGCATTCGGATTCCCGGCAGTGACGCGGCGGCGGGCGCGCGCGGCGCATTTCCGCCTCTGGCGAATGGCTCGGCTGTAGTGGGCGCCGCGGGCCCAGCTGCGACCCCGGCCCCGCCCCCGGGACCCCGGCCA